GGGGAGGGAGCTCAGGCAGAGTGAGTGCTCCGAATGCATGCTTATTATGTGATTATCCTGATAGAAAAGAAAATACAGCGGGCGCCGTGACCCTCCTCCCTGACTTCCCCCGGGAATAGGCTTCGGGGGGAAGTGACTGCAGGGTGAGCGGGGAGCTGCGGGGCCTTGCCTGCACCCCGGCATGGTCAGCTTGCTTAGAGCCTGACCCTTCCCGTGGGGCTTGCAGACTGCCTGTGGAGCAAAGTCTGCGTGCTCGTCTGCTGACAGAGGTCAAAAGGCTCTCCTGGTTTGAAAGCTTGAGCTTTTGTCAGGTAGACCAAGCAGAACCCAAGCGTTGGGTCTGCACAGGGAGACTTGCTGAGGTTTACTGACTCATAGTAACCGTAGTGTTATGGCAAACTTGGTGAAAACCCTTAATCTGGAGTAAAGGCACCCCCAGGAGCAATTCCGCTACAGCTCTGTCAGTGCTGTGTCACGCTTCAGAATCTCTTGGTCGTGTGGCCCTGGCCTGAAGCATCCCTGCACGGAAGATACAAATTCATTCTTGTGCACCATGCCAGTGCTTGTCAGCAGAGTCCTTGCAGCTGCAGACAAAGGCAGCTGAAGAGCTCGAGGGACCAGAATCCAGAAACAGGCACTAGGCGTGCAATCAGAGAGAGGCTGAAAGTCCTGTTGACTTTGGAGTGCTTAATGCAGCTTCAAATTACTAGAGCAAAGGTTTTAGGTAGTTTTATACCAACAGGGTAAGAGTAGCAGCTTTATAATACACCTGGCTTAATGCTTGCTGTGGTCTTTGCTGCTAAGATGAAACTCCATACTGTAATTTAGCACTGTGAAGATAAAGTGCCTGGTTCTTGCTGGCTGGCAGGTGTTCTCCACCAAACTGTAATTTGAAGGGGTAAATGTGACCATCAACCTGCTCTATTGGGTGGGAATGTGTTCTATATCCACTGTGCCATCTGTCAGGTGCTAAGCTCTATTACATGTGCATGCAGCTGGCTTTTCTTCGTTAATTTAGGATTTCAATGTTCTTACTGATAATGGTTTATCAAACTTCATGTGGACAAAGCTATCTGTTGTCTTCATCTTGCTCTATTGAGAATAATTCCTTTGCAAACGAGAAATAAAACCCTCTGGTGCCTAAGATCCCTCGGGGGTGTGGGGAGGGAAGCTGGTGCTGCTGCAGTAGGAAGGCTGTTTGCACCAGTTCCATGAGGTGTCCCATTTTCACACACACACACACACACACACACACACTGGCGGAAAGGCCTGGTGGGATAGTGCAGGAGACACCAAAACCTCATTATATCATGGAGGCACCAGATGGAGATAGGTATCAGCTGGGGTCTGGCTTGGAGAGGGAATCATCTCCATGCTGGAGAAAGGTCTCTGCTGTTTTCTGCTGTCCTGGCCAGTGCCTCTTTACCAAAATGGTTTGGTAGATATTGCTACTGTGGTGGGGTTTATTATTGGTTTATTGTTGACCTTAGCAGTACAAACTAACTGTTCATGTAGCCCAGCTCTTTTCAGCTCAGGGGATTTCTGAGCCACTGTGTGTTTGTCTGTATTATAATTCCCAATTTACCTCTTATTCCCAGAGCTTGTCTAGTTTCTCCTTGAGTTTATGAAAACTGCCTGCATTGGCAGCATCCCTCAGCAGGGAGTTCCACAGGTCTGTTTCTCACTGCATAAAAAAACACCTGTTTTGTTTCAAATCAGTTTCCTGGTTTCGTTTGGTGGCCCCTAGCCATGGTGTTGAAGTGGCCATGAACAATCAGTTCCTGTCCACCTCTTCAGAGCATCCCTGCAGGCACAGCACTGTCAGTGAGTTGACAGGATTTAGCCAGCCACAGCCAGAGCTGATGGAACCTACTGCTGGCCGTAGTCATGCTTTGAGCCAGAGGCAGAACTAGGGTCCTCCATACACCACCTCTCACCACTTATGCCATTTTAAGGCTTACTTGACAGGAATTGCTCAGAGAGCCCTTGGGTTTTGCTGCTTAATAGCCAGACACCAAGAGAAAATTCCCCACCTCACCGTTTTTCTTTTCCTTCAGCCAGTCCCTGTGCTGGGAGGTCTTGGGTCCATACTCAGCAAGTCATACACACACATATCCGCATGTAGTGAGCTGCCACTTCTCTAGTCACAGCCTGAAATAGTAACAAGCTCTCTTTCTCTGACAGCACTAAGCATGGCTGTTCTCTCCAAGGAGTATGGCTATGTCATCCTGACCGGGGCTGCCAGCTTCTTCTTGGTCATGCACCTTGCGGTGAAAGTGGCCAAGGCTCGCAAGAAGTACAACGTGGAGGTGAGTGCTCAGGCTGAGGGAATAGGAAGGTCAGAGCCAGTCTGCAGGGGATGTTGCATAACCTAGGTGACACCTTGCTTATTTTGGGTGACTTGCCAACATTTCCTGCCCCACTACATGGATGTAGAAGGGGAGCTGCCATTCTGGCTTTCCAGACTGGAGCACATGGCATGACAGAGCTTGGGGTTTGGGACATGAGGTGCTTGGCACCAAGCCGAGCCAGCTGAAAGCACAAGGCTTTGAGCTTGGAAACACTGATGCACAAGAAACCACACATCCCTCTTTCCCCTGCAAAGAAGGCTGATGCAGCATTTGGGGCAAAGGGATAATAGTGGAACAAAAGTGACAGGAGGGTTTCTCAAACTCAGGGGGAGCATGTGAGCCCTATCATACGAAGTCTTTCAAAGTGACCTTACCTCACCATCTGTTGAGGAGCCTTTTGAGCTTGGCAGGGCTGTGGGCTAGGTGAGGGCAGCCAGTCCTGCCCATGAGTCAGGATGATGGCATGCAGAGGCTTCTGTGCCACTTGGCTCCAGCACAAAATACTCCTTTATGGGGAGTCACAAGCAGGAGTGGACACAAGGACAGCCCTGGGCGTGTGCTGCAGGCCCCGGTGCCTGTTGGGGTGACACCACTCCTACTGCATGAAGTCAGGGTTACAGCAAATGTACCCAGTGCGTATGGTGCACAGAGCACTGGATTTCAGACTTGGGTGAACTTCTGCAGCCAAGTAGCAGCTGCAGCTGGCTGCCCAGCTCTGCAGTGGTAAGGGAAGCAAGTGTCCTCCCAGGGCTGTTCCTGGGTGATGGGCTGCTGCCAGCTCCTCAGAGGAGACATGGGGGCACATCTCTGGTAAAGCATGCTTTGTTCTCTCCAGAGATGGGATTTAAACAGGGAGGTCACATCAGTGCCTGGCTATCTTCTGTACAAAGCAGGGGACAGTTGGATTGCTCAGGGAGCTCAAGAAGCAGCCTGGGACAAGCAGCATTTTCAAGAAAGTATTTGTGGGCCACAGGGCAAGAGACAGGTTCTAACTTCCCAGTGCAAGTCAGTCCTGCAAGCACTTGGGCTTCCGGGGGAAAGGTGCTGCAGGGCATGCTCCACTGTTAGAGAACAGGCTCCTGAGCCCAGGCTGCACTTGCTCATGTTTTGCTGCTGGTTTATTCTTTTTGGCAGTATCCAATCATGTACAGCACAGACCCTGAACATGGGCATATGTTCAACTGCATCCAGCGTGCACACCAGAACACGTAAGTACCATGTATGTGTGCAGGCCTTGGAAACAGACCAGATTCTGGAGCAGGCGCTACACCTAGAGACTTGGTGCTGCCAAATGCTTGAGGTTCAGCCTCAATGCTTGAGGAAGACACTTCTGTGTAACACTTAGCAGTAAGGCCATGCTGGCTCCTTACCATGCCTTAAACCATGAGATGGGGCTCCTCTTCCAAAGTGTCTGGCTCTTTGCCTCCATGGGTGGATCTAGACACAAAACATATTGTTTCCAGAGAGCCCATCTCAGGGCTGCTCATCTGTTGTGCTGTCCAGGTCTACCTGGGGAGAGGCCTACATCCAGCTACGGTAGACCAGGCTGCAACAGCACATCAGACAGTTGCTGGAAGGAACAACTCCTAGGTTAGCTGACAGTAAGTGGTACTTAGCAGGGGCTTAGGGCACAGAAAGCCTGTGCATGCTCAGATTCCCTCTTTCCTCTGTCTGTGGCTGCAGCATCAAGCATGGAGATTTGTACAGTCAGGCCCAACAGAGACCTTGGCAGGGGATGCTCACAACTTCTGCGTTTCCGGAGTTTGCTCTTTGTAATGCAACTTGAGCACAAACACAACCTCCTTGCTTTTATTTTCAGGTTGGAAATTTACCCTGTCTTCCTGTTCTTTTTAGCCACTGATGGAGTCTTCCACCCAGTAAGTGACACTGCAGTGCAGGTTTGCATGACTGAACTTTGCTCTTGCTCCCCGATTTGGGAAGGGTGTAGGGCAGTAGGCCAAGCTAACCCCTCTAGAGGCAGCAGGCAGCTTCACTAGCCATGTCATGCTTCACAGCTGTGCCCCTTCTGAAAATGTAGTTGTAGGGGTCTTGTGTAGAAAAATCACAAGTATTTAATAAACTCGTTCCTGCTACTTCAGGTATTAGACCTCTTTCCTACCCCTAAGGCTGCCTTGTTAGACAAACCAAAGCATTCAGAGTCTCCACTCCATGAGTGGAAGGGTCCCTCCAATCCTGCCTTGTTTTTCCAAGCCCTGTAGGGTCCTGCTGGGCTTACAGTAGTGCTACCCAGCAGCTGGTTGCATGGATGACAAGAACACTTCTTACCCCCTATCTAAACACACTTTCATGAGGTGTTTATCTGATAAGAATAGATGGGGAACACTGATCTTCCCACTCACTGCCACCATCAAAGGAGGCATATGAAGGATCAAAAAAAGCCTGGATTATTTTTCACTGAAAGATGTATACAACTCAGTAGGAGGCAGGCATGTGGGAGAGGCCAAAATTGGTAGCTCTTTCTTTGCCACCAAGAGACAAATCAGGTCCTTCTTGAATATTTCTTTTCAGAGAGGGAAGGAAGCAGCACAGGCACATCTGGCAAACTGGAGCCACACTGCAGGAAGCTCCAAGTGGAAATTTGTAACACCCAAAACAGAAAAACATTTTGGGTGTGCATCTCCTATAGGCAGTGAAGTGGGGCTTGGGACAACAGCTGCCTCCAAGATCCTGGCACCTGGTGTTGCTCATAAACTGAACAGTGCTGCTGACTGTATGGCTCACCCATTTCTTGCTTGGGAGCAGCTGTGCTGCAAGAGCAAGGCTCAGCAGCACATTGCATGCTCCCTCCCCATAGATGTTACGAAGGTGACTCCTCCTATACAAAACTCAATCTAGCATGCTGCATCAGTCACTCAACTCCCCCATGCTGACTCCCAGTTGTCCTAGCAAGGTCAGGACCCTTGCTATAATTGGTGGTTACTTCTTTGAAGCAAGGTGGCTAAAACACCTAAGCACATGCATGCAGCAAATCTCCAAAACCTTTAATGCTTCTGCTTTCTCTCTAGCGGATTGCCACAGGGCTTGGCCTCACCTGGATCCTTGGAAGACTCCTTTATGCCTATGGTTACTACACAGGAGGTAGGTCTTTAGTCTGCAGCACAGAACAAGTGCTTGGAAACTCAAGTCTCCCGCGGTGGCCTCAGAGCTTTTTACTCCAGCTCACAGCAAAGAGGCAGCATAAAGCTTCCAGTCAGGGTATAAAGAAAGGGCTGCAGGTCCACAGGCTGCTAATGCTGCAGTATAAAAGCACTAGTCTAATAATAGCACAGACTGAAGATAAGTACATGGCCTGAGCTGGTGCCTGCTGGTTTGCCTTGTGATTTATCTCAAGTTCCTACTTCCTCCTTGAGTGTGGGCTATTCCTCCCGTGACGGGCTGCTGAACTGACCAAACATGTCTTTCTCTTTTCAGAACCAAAAAACCGCAGCAGAGGGGCCATTGGTTCACTTGCACTCATTGGGATGGTGGGCACAGGCATGTATTCAGCTTTCCAGCACCTCGGCTGGATCGGCAAGAACTAACTGACATCATAATGGCTACCTGAGAAACGAAAGGGATTTTTGGTTTGTTTTCTTTTCTTTTAGAACATTTCCTGGTTTCTTGGTTTTGTTTCTTTTTTTTCCTTTCCTCGTTCAATAAAATAAAGTTGCCAATTCTGTATTTTCACTCTCAAGTTACAGAAGGTCTTCTTAAGTTTTGCAGAATGCCAGAACAACTCTGGGTTTGTAAACCCACAGAAACCTGTCTCACGCAGAGATGTTCTAGCTTTCATCATTTCAGTGATCAAAAAGCCATCTTGCAACTTGTTTAACCCATACAGCAACAACCCTATTTAGAGACCTCTCAGTTCATGTCATGATACAAGAATATGTTCCAAACAGAGTTAATATTTGACTGCTAAAAAAAAAAAAAAAAAAAAAAAAAAAGGCTGCTGGCAAGCATTTAAAGTTGTTACTTAATCATATTTATAAAGAAGAGTAAGCCTGTAAGAAGGAAGTGAAATAGCATTTGTTTAAGAGCAGCAGGACTCTAACCTATGCTGGATCCTGGTTGTGCTCCATACTCCTCTGTCTGTGGGGATGATTCTCAAGGCCACGCGTGTCCCAGGTGGCAAAAACTAGACATCCCCACACTAGCTTGTTCCACCTTGGAAGTAAGGCACAGATGGCAAAACTTGTATTATGGGAGCTAGAGGAAATGAACAATCCTACCTTTAAGACTTCTGTGTAGACAGAGACTAGATAGAGCCTGTAGCTACAGGGTATCAATGTCCAAGAGCTTATATGTGCATTGAGTAGGGTCATACCTGTTAAAAGTTGACTGAGGGCAGAAGGCAATGGGGTTTCAAGGCATGCTGCATGAGAGCCTGTGCAAGACCTCTGCTACTGATAAGCCTCTGGTAACACCTACTTAGCTGAATGAGCGGCTGCTGAAAGCCGCACTGCTACCTCCTACTCAGCGGTTCCCATCTTGCACCAGGCAGGCCCTTTTATGTTCCCTGTTGCAGGGGCAGGGTGGCTAAACACTGCTCCAGCACTGTCCCCCCTCCCAGGCACTTCACTTATTTAGAGCACTTTATTGCTGTGTACATGATTCCTATCTCTGTCTGACAAGCAAGAACTGGTTGATGCTCCCTTGAGCCAACCCCAGAGCCACTAAAACACTGATTCCACATCACCCATCTCCACACAGACAGTCTTCAGCTGCGAGTAGTACTCAATGGCTGCCCGTCCATTCTCTCTGCCAAATCCTGCAGGGACAAGCCAGAAGTGAGAACACAGCTACATGCAGTACCACATACCATTCATACTCCCTCTAACTGGCATGTAGTCAAACCAGGGAAGGTCAAACACAGCTCACCTGATGCCTTGTATCCTCCAAAAGGCAGCTCCACAGGGCTGATGTTGTAGTTATTAATGAAGCACATCCCAGCCTTGAGAGCAGCCACTACCCTGTGAGCCTTCTGGATATCCCTGCAGAAAAGGGCAGTTTAACAGGATCCCTTCCCATTTATGCCCTCCCTTCCCTGCCAGCTAACAACACATCACTAGAGAAAGGTCTGCAGGTCAGTGGTTTTCAGAGCCTGACCTGCCCTACTCTGTCTTTGCCTGCTCAAAGGACACATCACCTATTCCCAAGGATATTCAGAACTGATTTGAAAAGGCAGGACAAGGACACCAGCAAAGCAGACTATAGCAAACAGCCAACAGCTGTCTTTGCATGCTTTCAGCAGCATAGCAGGCTCCTGCTGCACGTCGCCTGGAGATGCAGGAAGGCAGGCAGCAGGCCAAGCACAGGCTGAAAGGAGTCTGAAGAACAGCTGGGCCCACCTAGCCCTTCAGAAAAAAAGTGGGAGGAGATGCATAGTCTTATAAAGTTCCCTCTTGGCAATCCCTTGCTTCAGCTTTTCTGGAAAAGGATATCCATGCCTATGCCAGGCACCGAATGATGAACATTAAGTTGTCACAATATTTCCCTTCTTCTTCCCTCCCTAGACTGCTTCCACCCCAGCCATGCTTTCCAGTCATACCTGGTGAAGACTCCACCTGCCAGGCCAAATTTGGTGGCATTAGCTCTTTCCACAACCTCCTCCTCTGTGTCAAATGGCAGAATGGACATGACAGGCCCAAAGATCTCTTCCTTCACACATGTCATATCATCTGTACAATTCCCTGGAAGAATGGCAGAGCACATGTGCTTCAAGAGGAGGATCTAATTGCACAGCCTGTGCATTCAGTAACCCACACAGCCTTCAAGCCAGCACTCAGCACTGCACAGCCCCCCCCAGCTTGGCTAGCAGAAAAGCAAGCCCCATCCTGCATCTTAAGGCAGCAAAAGCACAAATTGCACGATTCCTGTAAGACCCTTCAATAGCAGAGATTTCTCTGGATACCCATATGAGTGTCTGTCTACACTGTGGACATACACAGAGACAGGTTACACTGAACACTGCTTTCTCTAGAAGAAACTCGGCAACATCCTCATAGAAGACTGCATTATCATGAATAGAAAGGATCATACCTAACACACAGGGTCGCATGTAGTAGCCATTCTTCAGTTTTGGGTCATCTGGAACATACAGGTCCCCACCACACAGAACCTCTGCCCCCTGAAAAAGAGCCAAACAGAAGGTAGGCAGGCACATCCAGGAGCATCCTGCCCAGCTGCCATAGCTCAGAGCTCCATCCAACCTGATCCTGAATGTTTCCAAGGATGGGGTATCTACCACCTCTCTGGGCAACCCATTCCAGTGTTTCACCACCCTCACAGTGAAGAATTCCTTCCATATATGTAGTCTAAATCTACACTCTTCTGCCTTAAAACCATTATCTCTTGTTCTGTTGCAACAGTCCCTTCTAAAAAGTTTGCCCCCATCTTTCATATAGCCCCTTTTAGGTACTGGAAAATTGTTATAAGGTCTACCTGGAGTCTTCTCCAGGCTGAACAAGCCCAACTCTCTCATCCTGTCTCCATAGCAGAGGTGCTCCAGCCCTCTGACCATCTTTGTGGCCCTCCTCCATGCTTGCTCCAAACATCCTTCTTACGTTGGGGAGCCCAGAGCTGGAGGCAGGGTCTCACAAGAGTGGAGTAGAGGGGCAGAATCCCCTCCCTCAAACTGCTGGTCACACTTCTTTGATGTAGCCCAGGATACAGTTGGCTTTCTGGGCTGCGAGTGCACACTGGGGTCACAGTAACTTTTCATCCACCAGTACCCCCAAGTCCTTCTCCTCAAGCCTGCTCTCAATCCCTTCATCTCCCAGCCTGTATTGATACCAGGGTGTGCCCCAACCCATACGCAGAACCATGCACTTGGCCTTGCTGCACCTCCTGAGGTTCACATGGGCCCACTTCTCAAGCTTGTCCAAGTCCTTCTGGATGACATCCCATCTCTCAGGTGTGTAAACTGCACCACTCAGCTTGGTGTCATCAGCAAACTTGCTGAGGGTGCACTCAATCCCACTGTCTGTGTCACTGATGATGATATTCAAAAGTACTGGTCCCAGTACAGACCCCTGAGGGATACCCCTATCACCAATATGCATTTGGTCACTGAGCTATTGACCACTACCCTCTGATACAACTATCCAATTCCACATCCACAAAACAGTCCACCCATCAAATCCATCTCTCTTCAATCTAGAAAGAAGGATGTTGTGGGAGACTGTGTCAAAGTCCTTAGAGAAGTCCAGATAGACAACCACCATAGCTCTTCCTTTGTCCATTGACGTAGTCACTCCATCATTAAAGGCCACTAGGTTGGTCAGGCAGGACTTGCCTGACCTTGGTGAAGCCATACTGGCGGTCTCAAATCACCTCTCTGCCCTCCATATGCCTTCACATAGTTTCTAGGAGGATCTGTTCCATGATCTTCCCAGGCACAGACAGGTCAGTAGTCCCCAGGGCCCTCCTTTATAACCTTCTTAAACATGGTTGCACTGTTTCCCTTTTTCCAGTCACCTGACTGCCATGACTTTTCAGGTATTATGGAGAGTGGTTTGGCAACTACATCAGCCAGTTACCTCAGGATGCTGGGATGCGCCTCATCAGATCCCACAGCCTTAGGTACCTAGGAGCCCAAGACACTTACCGAGTAATTCAACCACAACAGAGAAATAAAAACAGCTTAACTGGAAGGCATGGGGCAGGAAAGCAGCTCTGGACTGTTTGTCTAACAAGAGAATGATATTTCAGGGCAGTCACAAGGCAGCATCACAATCTCACCTGCTCCTTTGCCTGCTTGATAAAGCCCTGGACACGATCCAGGTGGGGCCGGTTGATGAGGGCTCCCATCCGCATGTCTTCTAGAAGTGGGTCTCCAATTTTGATTTTTTGTGTGCGTTTCACCACCTCCTTTGTGAAGACATTCAGTATCTTCCTCTCCACAAATACCCGGGTGCCATTGCAGCACACCTAAAATACAGGACAGGTGGTTCAGTACAAGACATACAACAAGCACTACACAATCCTTCTCTGTTTGGGTCCTGCTACAAAGGTTCTCAGAAAAGTTCCTCCACAGCTACTAAACCAGTTAACTTGTCCCTGGGAACAAAGAAGACTAGATTACCCTGCTGCTCATGACTGCACCGAATAGTCCATGCTGGACATAGTAGTACTGATGCCACCAGGTGGCAAAACTGCATCAAGTCACCAGCAGAAGAGAACTTCAGCTAACTCTTCAGTTCCCAGAGATGAACCTGGTAAGCAAATTTGCCAGCAGGAGTTCAAAAAACCTGCAGTACATGTGGAGATCCCGAATTAGGACAGAGTCCCATAGGGCCATGGCTTAGTGCACGAGACTGGAACCTGCTGCCCTTCCAGAGGACACCAGCACAGAACAGCTGCTCTGAGCTGGATACTGGGTGTTAGAGAAGCTCCACTTCTGGGAAAGACAGGGCATCAGCTAAGACACACTCTGCTGGGACACTATGCACTACCTTCTGAGAGGACATCCCTTCTGATCCTTTGTGATACTGTACAGGAAAAGGCACGGCAAGATAGGAGCTTCAGGGCATCCCTCACTACAAAAGGCCACAGGCTGGCTGTGCTGCCCAATCTTGAAACCCTTCACCTCACTGGGGAGAATCGTTCCTGCCCCACGGACACATACCTCACCCTGTGTAAGGAAGTTGGCCATGAGGGCTCCATTCACAGCATTCTCTAGGGCACAGTCCGAAAAGATGATAAGGGGGGATTTGCCTCCCAGCTCCAGGGTGACTGGTTTGATGCCTTTAGCTGCCATCTCCATGATCTGAGGGAAACAAGGACAGAAGAGACAAGAGACCCACTGGCAAAGGGAAGGCTGGTGGAATGAGGGAAGAGAGACCCAAAAAGTGAGTTCCTGAGGGCCCTTCACCAACAACAGAAGCAGCACAAAGGGCAAGCTGGGTTTCCTAGATGTGTGTAGTTCAAACTGGAGATGGTTTCAGAGGGTTTGATTCTTGTTATTTTCCGAAGATAAAACCAACAAAACCTGAAGAGTCATTTACAGGAAATCTTGTGCTCAGTGTAAGCTGAGAACAGCTGCAGATGCATCTGTGTCACTGCACCCACAGGTACACACATGTAGCAAGTGTTCAAGGGCAATATTTCACAGAATCATAGCATGGTTTGGGTTGGAAGGGACGTTAAAGCTCATCCAGTTCCAACCCCCTGCCATGAGCAGAGACACCTTCCACTACACCAGGTTGCTCCAAGTCCTGTCCCACCTGGCCTTGAACAATGCAAGGGATGGAGCAGCCACGCCCGCCCCCAGCCTCTCTGGGTAACCTGTGCCAGCACCTCACCAGCCTCACAGTAAAGAATTTCTTCCTAGTATCTGATCTAAATCTACCCTCTTTCAGCTTAAAGCCATTTCCCCTTGTCCTGTCACTACATGCCCTTGTAAAAAGCCCCTCTAGATTTTTTTGTAAGCCCCCTTTAGGCACTAGAAGCTGCTTTAAGGTCTCCCCAGAGCCTTCCCGTCTCCAGGCTGAACAAGCCCAACTCTCTCAGACTGCCTCCATAGCAGAGGCGCTTCAGGCCTCTGATCAAACCTGCGGCCCTCCTCCAGGCTCGCTCCAACAGGTCCACATCCTTTTTATGTTGGGGAGCCCAGAGCAGTACTCCAGGTGGAGTCTCACCAGAGTATAGGGGGAGAATCCCCTGCCTCTACCTGCTGGTCACGTTCCTTTTGATGCAACCCAAGACATGGTTGGTTTCTGGGCTGCAAGCACACACTGCCGGGTCACATTGAGCTTCTCAACAACCAACACCCTTAAGTCCTTCTCAGGGCTGCTCTCAATCCAGTCTCTGCCCATCCTGTAGCTGTGCTTGGGATTGCCCCAACCCACATGCAGGACACCTTGCACTTGCCCTTGTTAATCTTCATGAGGTTCCCCTCTTTCAGATCAAATTTTTTTTCTAGGAGCCTTTTTACTACTGCT